TAGCCTTCTCACTTTTTCAATGTAGTTCCTACAATCTTTTTGTAGAAACGTCAAACTCTCTACACCTCCTACCTCAACTGAACATGACTGAAAATTTTTACACGGTCTAATCCCAGCCACATCATTAACTTCAAGTCGCCTTTTCACATAAGGTTGTATCGTTCGGTTAACCTTGAAATATCTTTTTTTTGTCGGACTTGTAAGATCATGGTTATGTTCAAGTACAACTGATTTAATTTCCCATTTCCATTCACCATTCAAAGCTGTATTAATTTGACTCTTACAATCTGTTTTGGCAACATGTTGCTTTTTCAAGGTATTTCTGGACTTACATCTCTCCTTCCCAGAACAAGAACATGCCACTATCACATATCTCATCTCTCCATCATCGCCTTTCTTTGACGTACGTATCATTGTTTTAAATCCCATTTTGTTACCATACCGTTTGTAATACTTCACCAGACTATCAACTGAATCAAACACCATTCCAATATGAGGCTCCACTTCTTCCTCTGCACATCCCATATCTTTTAATTCATCACGTTCATTTTTCTGATCATTTAATAGTTTTATAATTAGAGTTGGAACAAATGGGTCGGGTTAGGCGGGTCAACCCTAACCTGACCATTAAGGAGGGTTCAACCCGATCGGCATGCACCTCCCCAGGTGGGCCAAGTTTTTAAAAGGCAACCCGGCGGTTGCCTTTTTTTTTTAAAACAATATAGCTGTTTTATAGCAGTTGGAGGGGTATTTTTCGTCATTTTCTTTTCCCATTTTTTTTCTATAAATTGGCCCTAGACTCTCATATTTTCTCACATCCAAAATTCTCTCATTCTCTCATGTTCTCTAATCTCTATTGAAATCTCTCAATTATTCTCTTTGTTGTCAATTTGCTCTCATTTTAATTTTTATTAGTTTTTGCAATTTTCAATTCATATTTCCAAATTCCAATTCTCCTTCTTTAATTTTTTATTTCTTCTATATCAATTTTTTTTTTTTAATTACAATGGATAGATATTTCTCTCCCATCAATTTCGATGATGAAGGAAACTACTATCCTAGTCCCGCTGAATTTATTAACATAAATGTAGCAGATTCAAATAGTCCCGCTTTCCCAGTCTCAGAATCCGATACACCTCAAAACATGACCCAGATTCCGCCCCATGCTGCTACAGCTCCCAGTGGTTCTAGAAGTCGTCCTCGTAATCGTCGTCCTCGTCCAACTTCATCTTAAGCAAAAGCGGGTTCATCAACTGCTGTCGAAACCGACGACAGGCACACATCAGACGTTTGGGTGCATTTTGATAAGTTTTACGAGACAGAAAATGGAGTTCAAGTGAAAAAAGCAAGATGCAAGTATTGTGGAAATATTTATAAAGCTGATTCAGATAATGATACTAGTACTTTAAAAAGGCATGCTAATAAACATATTACTCAACATGGAAATAGAGAAACCAATCAAACTCAAATAACTAATATGGGTAATACTTGGCGTTATAATTCTGATGTATATAGGGAACAATTAGTTTTATATATTGCTGCAACTGATCAACCTATTAATATGGTGAAGATAAATATTTTGAAGATTTATTAAAAATTCATTTTTTCCAAGATTTAAAAGTTGTTCTAAAACTACCACTAGAAATGATTTAATAAAATTGTTGGGAAAATGAAATTAGAATTAAAAAATAAAATACATAGTTGTCATGTTAGTGTGGCTCTAACCGCCGATATTTGTGTGGACTAGTCATTATTTTGACGAATGTAAATTAAATAAATCTTTATTAGGATTTAGATTAATGGATGTGGATCATAGTAGTCAACAAATTTATAATAAAATTGTTGAAGTTTTAGATGATTATGATGTTATAATAAAGTGATAAGTTTAACTTTAGATAATGCAAGTTCTAATAGTACAGCTATAAGTTTTTTAAAAGTAATTATCCTTTATAACAATTTGAAGTTTTTTCACTACGTTGTGCATGTCACATTATTAATTTTTGTGAAAACTAGTATGAAAACAATTAGAGATAATATTGATAGAATTAGAGATTCTTTAACTTGGATTACTAGTAATAATAAATAAATACTCAATTTCAATATGCTTGTATAAAATCAATATGTCTTCTAGAACTTTTGCATTAGACATGTCTGTTAGATGGAATAGTACTTATTTAATGCTTGATTCATGTTTACCTTATGCAAATTTAATTAGTTATTTGTAACAATAATAGAGGTCTTCAATTTGGTGAAAATGTTGGCATATAGCTAAAAAATTTCATTCTTTTTTTAATTTTACATACTCACAATTATACATTTGGTATGTTATTAGTCCAATACATACAATTATAAAAATTTCAGATTTATTAGAAAAAACAAAAACAATGAAATTTTAAGGGAACATAAGGCAATGGAAATTTTTTTTTTAAATATTGGAAACCCATTCATTTTCTTTATTGTTTAGGTGCTATATTTGATCCTAGAAATAAAGTAGCAAGTTTAGAAAATGGTTTAGACACATTAACTGAAAATTTACAAAACGAAGCATATGCCAATCAACTAGGAGAGGTAAGAGGTGTCTTGCAAAGGTATTTGCAATATGAAAACAGGTAGGGACCAGCAAAGAGGCGAAATACCTAGAAAGTTGCATCAGAAAAACAAATGAAGACTCGACTCTTGGAGTGCACTTAATAGGCGAAGAGGGCCCAAACTCAAAGCACAATCCTCTTCAGAAGACCCAACAATGAATATTGTTCTCCATGCAGTCACAGAGTAATGAGCTTCAATAATATTTGGGAACCCCGAAGTGTTACCAGCATATCTACAACAAGAGCCAACTGTGATGTCTTAGAATATTGGAAACATTTAGTGCAAGTGGAAGAATTTTAAATGAAAGGAGGACTAAACTTTCACCAAAAATGATTGAAGTTCTCACATGTCTTCGAGATGGGAACGGTCACGCCATCAAGATCAATACGAGGTTGTCGACGATACTTTAATAGAATATTTCAATTTTGTAATATAGATGATACGGACGAGGGATGTCCTAGTCAACCCCCAAATTAGTTGTTTTGTAAATTGTAACTTGTAAATAATGTCAATTATTGCACTCTTTTTTTCCTTACCAAGTTTTTGTCCGATTGGACTTTTCTTGGTAAGGTTTTAACGAGGCAATAATTGTTGTAATTTCTTATTTTATTTTTCGATAAATGAATAAATCTAATTTTCTTATATTACAATTTTATTGTTTAACATTGAATTAATATTTGAAATGTTAACAAAAAAAAAAATTAATTGAATTGAATTATTGATATTTGAAAAGTTAACTAAAAACAATTACATAAAAGAAAAAATTAAAAAAAAAATGTGGGCTAACCGGCCCGGGCCGCATCATAACCAACGGGTATGGGTTGGCGGGCGGGGCGGGCCGCCTTTATGGCAAGAGGCAGGCCGGGTTTGTTGGCGGGTCGGGTTAGGCCCGTCCGCCAACCCCATAATCCGCCATGGTCGGGGGGCGGGTCATTTTCCTGATCATTTAATAGTTTTATAATGGACAAAATTAGAATGTACTAATACAACATATCATAAGAAACAATACGATACAATAAATTTAAAATCATGTTAACGAAAAAGTTAAGGTTTCGAGCACAATTTATCTCAGCATCATTTAAATGAGGCAAATTGGACTCTTCCATATTCTGTAATTTAATGCAAAACCAATACTAGTGTACACGTTCACAAATCTGATTCACAACAATCACCAACAAATATTCTCTATCAGTTATTTTCTATTGTAACATATATTCAATCCAAAATAGAATACAAACTAAATAAATGCATAAGTTAAATAAAAACCGCTTAACAACCTCAACAAATCTTTATAATCTGAACAAATTTTGATCTTCCTATCTCTCTTTCCACCTGAAATGATTGTTTTATGAAAAGTTTATGGTTTTCTTTCTTGTCACGGTAATTGGTTGTTGAGGAAGAAATTGATTGTCGCTGACAACCGTAGACGAGAAGAATGCAGACGCAAAGAACGAGAACACTGAAGCGGGAACGATGAAGCAAAAGGCAAAATGAAGTTTTTGCTTCTTCTTTTTTTCGCTCGCAAAATGTTGGCGCTTATTTTGGAGAAGCTGATGTTTAGGACAAATTAAAAAAAAAAAAAAGTAAATTAAAAAAAAAAAATTTATTATATTATGGACGGTCGTCGATATTATATGGACGACCGTCCTTTTTATATAGACTCTCTTTCATAACATATGGACGGGCGTCCAAAAAATTTGTTTTAAAATATTTGTATTCATTGAAAGTATGATGGGCGTCTATTATATATTGACGCCCGTTCATAAGTTATGGACTTCCATCCACTTAATACAGGACGGGCGTCCTAAAATTTAAAAAATTTTTCTTTTAATTTAATGTATGGACGGGTGTCCATTGTATGTGGACGCCCATCCAAAAACAAAGGACGACTGTTCATATTTTATGGACGACCGTCCCTACATAATGGATGGTCGTCCCTTCCTAGCGGTATGCTATTTCAATTATGGACGGGCGTCCATTTTATGTGGATACCACATACAATGGACGCCCGTCCATTAAAATATGAACGGTTATCCTTTATTTTGTTAATGTGTTTTTCCTCTATTTACTGATGAACGGGCATCCATATTATGTGGACTCCCGTCCATATAATATGGATAAAAGTCCATCATAATTGAATGGCCGTCCATAGTTGATGATAGACCGTTCACTCGTAAAATATTTGTCAAACTTATACGTGGTTAGTTTGAGTCACGGGACACGTAATTCGGTGAAACAATTCGGTATATAATCCTGGTATCTGTAGCATTATTGATATTTTTATACGTCTAACATTATTATAGAATTATATGACCCTATTATCCCTAATAATTCCGAATGAATTTGGAAACTATAAGACAGAAGCGGTAAAAACAAGCCTTATGTTTGAAATGTAAGGCCACTTTTGTACACCCCAAGGCATTGGATAATTACTCGCAACTACCACATCGGCCCTGGTTCAATTTCAACTCCCGTGTTCAGACAGAGACACAACTGCAGATACGACACCGTCTTCTTCACCCATTTGAAGATTTGAACTCCTGCTTCAGGTACTTAGCTTTCATTAAAATTTACTTGCTTTTCAAATCTTTCTGAAAGCTTTAACGTTCTTTTCACTGATGTATTACTTTGCTTCCTTTTTTATTTTCACCTATTTGTTGGTGATTTAAGTCTTTAATTCTTTGACCAGCTCTTGAGTTCGACCACACTATCTGCATTTAATGTGAGGTACTTGATTTGTCATGTATTCATGTTATTATAGTACCCTTTGTTTTGGAGAAAACAGAGGAATAAAAAAGTTGCTTGCAGAAAATGATTGATGGGTTCAGTTGGTAGAGTTTAACTGTTTTGCTTTAAGAGAAAATTCAAGAACTGGTCTGAAGTGAGCTAAAAGAAGATGAAATCACATAAATTAGGTTTCCCTTTAATTAGATTGAAGAATTGGTCAGGTGGTTTGTTGATCATAGCTCTTGCTATAGTCTTGTTTTTTAGCTACAGTTTTATTGGAATTGGAACTCAACCCCAGAAGCAAGATGAAAATCAAAATCAGAAACAGAAGCAGAAGCAATCTGCTGATGATTTTTTTAGATACCATCCAGGCAATGAGTCTGATACTCGAAGGGAGGTGAAAAAAGCACCACCAGTGGTACCACGGAAACCGTATATTGTAAATGTTGAGGGACTTGGTGATCTTTATGCAAAAAATAATATATCGGAAGAAGAGGCAAAGCCCTTACTTACGTGGGCACGTATGCGTTTACTATTGTCTAGGTCTGATGCTTTGTCTGAAACAGCTCAAGGGATTAAAGAGGCTGCTGTAGCTTGGAAAGATTTGTTGTTGACCATTGAGAAGGAGAAGGCTTCTAAGTTCAATGGTAGTGGTGATGAAGTTAAAAACTGCGCCTTTTCTGTTAGTAAACTTGATGAGAAATTATCGAGGAATGGAACTGTTCTTGAGCTTCCTTGTGGTTTAGTTGAGGATTCTTCAATTACAGTTGTAGGCATTCCTGATGGGCGCTATCGAAGTTTTCAAATTGAACTTATAGGCTCACAACTTTCCGGGGAGTCTAAGCCTCCAGTCATCTTGCATTATAATGTCAGTTTGCCGGGGGATAATATGACAGAAGAGCCTTTCATAATTCAAAATACATGGACTACTGAGCTTGGGTGGGGCAAAGAAGAAAGGTGCCCTGCTCATGGATCTGCTGATACTTTGAAAGGTATATCATTATAACTTTGCGTCCTCATATATGCATTATCTTGATTCTAGAATTAAGTTCTGTAATGTAGCCAGCGCAACTCTGACTTTGAATCTGATGCATTAGTAGTGGTTTATCCATTTTAAGGATAATTTCATATTTAATAGATTTGCTTCATTCTGTTTTTATAGTGCTTCTTTATTATTCATACAACCTGAAAGGATGATTCTTGCAATCAGGATCAGTAATTTAACATGTTGTAGCAACCTTACAGTGGATGAACTTGTTCTTTGTAATGAACAAGTTATGAGAAGCGCTTTGGAAGAGAATCAAAATGTGAGTCATCCTAGTGGCACAATATTGACCAATGTTTCCCATGGAGGTGTCCATTCAACTGCAAATTTCCCCTTTATTGAAGGCAATCCATTCACTGCCACATTGTGGGTTGGTTGGGATGGGTTCCACATGACCGTCAATGGAAGGCATGAAACGTCATTTGCTTATAGGGAGGTAAGGTATGAGTTTTTATATTGTATGGATTTAAGTTGGAATCTGATGATATTTCCAAATATGATATTCTAATAGGAGTGATCATTCCCATCCTTGATGCTTTTTCTACTAATGCAGAAACTTGAACCATGGTCAGTCACTGGAGTTAAAGTGTCAGGCGGTGTGGAACTATTATCTGCTTTTGCTAAAGGCTTGCCTGTCTCAGAAGACCATGATTTAGTTGTTGATGTTGAGCACCTCAAAGCTCCCTCAGTTTCCAGGAAAAGACTTGTAATGTTGATTGGGGTTTTCTCTACTGGAAATAATTTTGAGCGTCGTATGGCGCTGAGAAGATCTTGGATGCAATACAAGGCAGTACGTTCAGGGGATGTAGCCATTCGATTTTTCATTGGCCTTGTAAGTGAAGAATGATAGCTAAACTTATTGTTGCCGAGATAATCTTCTTGTTCTTCTGTGTGCTCTAGTTTTGTTTGGCTAAAGTAATGATCTACTTTAGCACTGGTCTAAACTTAATGATTTTCCTGAAATTTGAGAGTTTAGTTTAATCATCTTTAAATTATCATCAATCTCTATTGAGATAACATACCGTTGTCTTTTGTTTCATAAGACCAGATTAAGCATTGACTCTAGAGCTATAGTATGAAATTCTAATTTCTTGGTGTTATGTAACAAAAATGAATGAAATAGTATGTGCAATTATTGAAATAGTACTTTCTTTGATATCAATAAGTGCATCATAATTGTTTATTTATGGATATTTTAATTAATCAGAGAAAAAAAGGGGGGGCTTTGTGACTAATTTTATATTTTATATACTTGCAGCACAAGAACAAGCAAGTAAATGTTGAGCTGTGGAGAGAAGCTCAAGCGTACGGAGATATCCAATTGATGCCTTTTGTTGATTATTACGGTCTAATCAGTCTGAAAACAATTGCAATTTGCATAATGGGGGTATGTACATAAACATATATGCCATAAAAAATACAGTAGATTCATACATTAGAATTAGAAAATAAAAGGATTTTCCCAGCATCATGAATAATGACTCATTTTAAAGGATGTTCCTTGCTTCTTAATGTTTCAAAAAACCGAATAAGTTGTTTACCAAGGAGATCATGATAATCCATACTTAGTTGGAAAAGGGTCCAGTAAAAAATCTGAACATGGTTTTCAACTTCATTATTCCAGAGTGTTAGGTCAAGAAGTCTAGTGATGACTGACTTACAGTATGAAGTTAAACAGTTCTTATGATATGTTTGAGTAGGTGCCTATGCACAGATACACTCATACACATATTTATCCAATGCCTACAGTTTACATCATGATGTCAGTTTTTTTATGCTTCAAGAAGATGCTCATTAGAATTTTATTTTTGTAGCATCCTGTAACTGGATAGTTATAAATAGCTCCCACTTTCTAGGTTTATTCATTTGTTGACTTTTCATCATATATGCAGACAAAAATCCTCCCTGCTAAATATGTCATGAAAACAGATGATGATGCTTTTGTTAGGATTGATGAAATTCTCTCTACCCTTAAGGAAAAAGCATCTGATGGGCTCTTGTATGGTCTTATATCTTTTGAATCATCACCTCATCGGGAAAAGGACGGCAAGTGGTATATAAGTAAGGAGGTATATATCCAAGTCATACTTCACTTTTTAAGTAGATGGTCATAGCACTTGAAAATATCTTTAATTATCATTCTGTTGCACAGGAATGGCCACATGCTTCATACCCTCCGTGGGCCCATGGTCCAGGTTATATTATTTCCAGGGACATTGCAAAATTTATCGTTCGAGGGCACCACAAAAGAGATCTCAAGGTAAAATTTTCTTGCTTAGAGGAGGGAAAGCACTCCTTGAATTCATTTTCCCCAGGACCTGCATTAGTGTGTGTGACATCTGCTTGTAGGAAGATAATGTTTCTAATTCTTCTTTAAAGACTTAATACATCTTCAGAACATTAAAGAAAATTTTTAGTCTGCCGTGTTTCAGAATACATTTCAATCTCTTTTCTGCCTGTAACCTCTATTTATGTGCCCAAGGATTCAAGACTTGGTAAATGGCTTGGTCAACATGGGTAGTTGAAGCTTGCAAATTGTAAAATATAAGCCATGAAGATGCATTTGCAATGAAAAACAGAAATTGCTAATTTAACAAACTTGACAAGTTATTCTCTATGTTTGTTAATTTGTCTCATTTTGAATTTTCATTTTCTTTTCCAGCTTTTCAAACTAGAAGATGTAGCAATGGGTATATGGATTGAACAGTTTAAGAATAGTGGTCAAGAAGTGCATTATTTGAGTGACGACAGGTTTTACAATGCTGGATGTGAATCAAATTACTTTCTCGCGCATTATCAAAGCCCAAGGATGTTGTTATGCCTTTGGGAGAAGCTGCAGAAAGAGCGCAAAGCTCTCTGCTGTGAGTAAATATCAACCATGAACCTTTGAATGAGTTTTAACTCTTAAACAAAAGTCGATCTCACTTGCAGTTCATACAAATATGCTGTCAGTCACCATGTGGATTTGTGTTGGTTACAGTAAAGGTTGGACTGATTCTAAATTATACACAGATAGTTTAGTCTCATGTTATTTGTTCATTGGTTGTTCATTACAATTGTAATATTTGATGGAAAGACTGTTGTTGATTGAGCTTGTTGGTGTGGTCACAAACTTGATATGAAATTCGGAATGGCCATTTTGAGCTTTTCAAAACCATTGTTTAGAAACTGTGCAATGCAACTGATATTCTTAGTGGTGAATATCTCTGCAGAATCCAACAATGAATCACCCCAAAAAATATCTTGAGTGTCCAATATGAACTTCTCACTTGGTTGACTTATATTGTAGCATTAGCACTTTTGGCTGACTCTTTTCCCCATTAGTGGTTGGCCCAACTCACTCTAGGTAGCAAACAAATACACAAAGTGAAAGTGGATGTAATTTGGCAGATCAACTGAGAGAAGACATTGGGCAAGGTAAAGGTTAGATAAGGTGCTCAGCCAGCTACATGTGATTCTAATGAGGGCACGTTTTGGATAAACTTGAGCCACCATTTTTGTAAGGTAACAGTTTAACAGGAAAACAGAAGCCAATAGAAAGATCCAGTTTAAATGGCCTCTTTTTTGCCATGTGTAGAATATTAGTTTCACCAGGATTCCCATCTTAGACGAATCATTACCCACTTAAGTTATGGGGAGGTGGTGTTTTTTCTCTAAGACAGCTCATCTTTCTTCTTTTGTTATCTACAAAATGTCACTCTCCATTGGTTTCATGCACAACCTTTTTACCTAAACTGACAACTTCCAACCTCTCTTTACCGCCATTGGAGAGTTAGTTTTATAAGAAGAAACTTCTACCTAAAATGATAACTTTAAACCTCTCTAAATGCAGTTTTTTCTGATTTTCTGACTTTGGCCCCATGAAAATTCTCAACTTTTCTTTAACACCCCATTGGATAATTTTACAAAACAAAAGTCCAAGATGGTAGATGGGGATTTGATTAAGTTACCAATTAGGTAAACCTTTGCTTCTTACTTTAAACAGTTTGGTGGGATATAAAAAACAAAAGGAGAGCTTGTGGAGTAAGGCACTTTGATTAGTCCTAGTCTTTGAAAAAATTAGTAATATTATCAGCATAATAATTGGCTAAGAAGTTATTGGAAACTTATGGCAGCCAGCCCCTAAATTAAAATTTCAAAAGAGGTAATGGCCTTTCACACGCAACCATGCCACTAAAAGAATGCTTAATCATTGACCATTACTGCTGCATAATCTAAATCTAAACACCCTTTTATTCTAAAATAATACAAAAATGTTTTCTTTTAAAAAATTATAAAAGTGTCGGCGGCGTGTTTCGATTAATTTTTTAAAGAGACCACTGTAATAATCTACCACCACGATTTTACGTAAATCAAGATGCTTAAATAGCTTTAAAAGTTACTTTAGCTTGCTAAAAATGCTTTTACTAAAAGAAAAAAAAAAAAGAAGTGAAAATGCTTTTATATCAAGAAATCCTCAAAACAATAAAAGATATAATATAATAATGAAAGCTTTAATAAATAATTAATTTTCCGACGTGGCAGATACAAAATAGGCAATGGATTTATTTCTCTATCCAAAGAATCTCAAACCAGAAATCCAACCGGTCACGTACACGTGTCAGTCAGGCAAAGTCGGTGCAGGGGTCTGAACCGGTTTCGACAATTAACAGATCCTAATAAAACTTTGTGTAATACAAATAACTTCTTTACTCGGATTACGCAATTCAATTACAAAACAAACAAACAAACAAGCAAAGCAACCAAACCCTAATTTCACACAACAACTTCTTTTTCGCCTTCAATCGTTATATAATTTCACCGCGTTCAATTCTGTTGTTCATTCTTGGATTCAAAAGCTGTGTAGAAAGAACCGAAGGCGGCTGTCGTTTTGAGTTTTGCGTGTTGAAGATGATTGTCGGTCAGAATATAACTGGTGCGGTTTTAGATGTGCAGTATCATGTAAACAGCCCCACTTCGACTCCGAATTTTCACGAGCTTCGCGTTTCGGACTCGGTTTCGGTTTCATCCGAAATCTCGGGCTTTGAATCGGTATGTTTATGCGCTCTTTAATCTTTGACATTACTCTCTTTTTTGTTTATGGGTATCAGTTGTTTTAGTGTTTCTTCAGCTTTCTTGATTTGTATCCCAATTGGGTTTTGTTTGAATTGATGAGATTACTGCACTGGGTTGTTTGAATACCTGATTAAATAATATTTTGAACTGTTTTTTTAATGAATTTTGGACTCAAATTCTTGATTTATTTAATTTTTAATTACTCTGTTTGTTAATGGGTACGAGCGGTTTTAGTGTTTCTTGAGGCTTTCTTGATTTGTATTCTTATTGGGTTTTTGTTTAGTTGATACGATTGGTTTACATGTGTAAATAATATTTGTAACTGATCGGATTCTTGATTTTTTTTTTTTTTAATATTTAATTACTTTCTTTGTTGATGGGTATGTATGGTTATAGTGTTTCTCGAAGCTTTCTTGATTCTTATTCCGATTGAGTTTCTTTTTTTAGATTCTTTATGATTTTGGATTTATTTATTTTTTTCTTTATTTTCTCTCCTTGTTGATAGCTATAGGTGAGTTTAGTTTTTCTTGAAGCTTTTGGTTGAGTTGATGGGATTGCCTTGCTTGGTTATTTGCATACAAGATTAGATTACATGTGTAAATAATAGTTAATAATATATATATAACTGATTTTCTTTAATGAATTTTGTGCTTGGTTCTGGATTTGAGGTAAATTTGGTGATTTATAGTTTTAATGGATAGGGGTGATTAGAAGCTGTAGTTGATAGCTGAAGCATAGATAGTCTTCTTTAATTTCATTTGTTGGTCTTTATCGGTTTTGGGCTATTGTATTCTTTTAGGTGTATTCACTATTGTAGTGACAAATCTTCTTTGTGTTTGAATGAGTATAATAATAAAGGGAACCATACAGAAGATCTGTAATGAGGTTAAAACTGGAGAAAGAAGAAATTCTTAGATAGAGATTGGATTCCATTACAATCCGATAATGAATTTTAAGAAATAGTTATATGTCAATGAATTTTCTTTTCTCTATTTGACTACGTAATGCTTTGTGTGGTTAAATAATTATTTGTAAACCTCAGAGAAATTAAATTGCGTTCTAGAGTTTGGGATTATTATATTAAGTGGTAAAAGAATCATTAAATGGGAAATGTTAATTGATTATGTTTTTGAAGATTTGTGGACATCATGTCTATGTTGCAGCTTGCTTCTTGTTTCTTTTTGGTTTGCTGATTAGTTGGTTTTGAGACTCTTAGGACATCAACTAACCTCTTTCCCTTTGTTTTTGGGTTTATAGGTTGTTAGTTGTTCGGAGACCATTAAAAGTACTGTTGTTGAGTCTTCATCTAGTAAGTCTTTCCCAAGAATCCGTTCTGGTAGCTGTGCTGACATTGGATGTAGAAAGTCAATGGATGACGAACACATTTGTATTGATGATCTATCTGCTCGTCTTGGGTCTCTCTTCAAGTGTCCTATGCCAAGTGCTTTCTATGCTGTGTTTGATGGTCATGGTGGACCGGAAGCGGCTGTTTTTATCAAGAACAATGCCATGAAATTATTTTTTGAGGATGCTGATTTGCCATTAATATCTGATATTGATGATGTTTTCTTAGCTGAGTTGGAGAATTCTCATAGGCGAGCATTTTTACAGGCAGACCATGCCTTGGCTCATGAATGCAGTGTTGGCAGTACATGTGGTACAACTGCACTGACTGCCCTAGTACTTGGCAGGCATTTACTGGTTGCAAATGCTGGTGACTGTCGGGCAGTTTTATGCAGAAAAGGAGTTGCATTTGATATGTCTCAAGACCATAAGCCTTCCTATCTTCCAGAACGCAGGCGAGTTGAGGAGTTAGGGGGGTATGTTGATGACATATATGTTAATGGTCTCTCTGTCACTCGAGCGCTGGGAGACTGGAACTTGAAACTCCCACTTGGGTCTGCCTCACCTCTCATTGCTGACCCAGATGTTCAACAAGTTGTGTTAACTGAGGATGATGAATTCCTAATCATTGGGTGTGATGGTATCTGGGATGTGATGTCAAGTCAGTATGCAGTTAGCCTTGTCCGCAGGTTGCTGAGGCGACGCGATGACCCAAAGCAGTGTGCTCAAGAACTAGTGATGGAAGCGACACGCCTACATTCATCTGATAATCTCACTGTGATTGTTATCTGCTTTAATTCCCCTGCTCGTGCTGAGTCATGTCCTCCTCAGCGGCGTAGGTTCAGGTGCTCAGGTTTATCTGAGGAGGCGCGAAGTAGACTTAAGAGCCTGTTAGAAGGCAATTGATCGAATATACCAATTATTTCATACACTATTTACCGATTAAAGTTGAGAAGTGATTATTATCTGTTTAAAGGCTGTTTCAGATGGTTCATAAAAAAAAGGCAGCCCGCAATTTTGCAGATGTAGAAGAGAGAACGCTAGGCTTGTGGAAATTTTATTTTTTCAATGAATTTGGGTCTCTGCCATAACCCACCCATATTTGTTTCCTTACATGTGATTTGTATATAAACTAACACTATCGCAACTATGCTTTAATGAAAGTCTATATGAACTTTACTTATCTTGATATTGTAACTGTTGGAGTTGTCGACTACTTCAGCATTAATAGGTAACGGAGACGCACTCGGGGGAATATGATTCATTTTAAGTTATTAATTCCTTTTTGGGTTGGGTTTAGGAATATGAATTCTTGTAAAACTAGGTTTAATCTCTTAAACCTAGTATATAAACATTCTTTTCTCTTGTTATGTGTGTGAGAACAATTCATTCATTGTAAACGAGAGAGGTGAGGCATATTGCAATAATATTGACTCAGCTGGACGTAGCCTACATTAGGTGAACCAGGGTAAATCGCGCGTATTACATTCTTTGTTTACTGTTTGTTTTGTTTAACTATTATTATTTTGTTCCTGTTGCTTCTCTATTTCGTTCAGTAACAACATACTCTTCTATTTGCATGTGTAGTTTAGTGAACTAGTCAAATGCAAGAGTGTCATTAGTAACCATTTATCTCAATTGATTGTAGGGTTAGCAATTCCCGGAACGGGGATTGGGCTTTACAAGTTTTTACCTTCCTTATCCCTAATAGGGGTGTATACAAGCCGAGCCGATTATTTAGCTGCTCGAGCTCGGTTGGGCTACTATAGTACTTGTCCGAGTTTTTTGTTTTACCTTCATGTCCTTAATAGGGGTGTTTACGAGTCAAATTGAGTATCTAGCTACTTGAGCAAGGCAATTCCAAATATAATGCTCACATTTCAAGGAGGTAGTTATAACAATCTGTTACTTTATTATTTCTAATTTTTTTAAAAATAAAAAAATAAATTGGAACCTTAGCAGGAAAGGCCTTCTGTGTACCACCAATTCTAGGCAAACACACACAAAGAAAGGATGATGGTAAGGTAAGGTAAGGTAAGGTGTGTGAGGCCACAATCCTCTTACAATTCTTTATAATAATACATGGTTCATTCTTCTTTGTGTTCTTATCACTTTAGATATTTTATTTAAAACAAAACAAAAATCTTATAAATTTTGTTCGTGCTTAATAAACAAAGCTATTATCAGAAGATTCTCAGCCGTTGAATTTAGACCAGTACTACCTGTGGCCACTTTTATGGGAATAAAAGAATGTTGAATTTGTAGTAGGGAATAAAAAACATTTCTATCAAACCTTTATATCATACCAGCCACCAACCCCGATCAACGGTCGAGATTAACGAGTAATCTTTATAATCATGAACTTCACCACACCAGATAACGGTTAAGATTTCCAAAGACTCCCTATAATTTACAAGCTGACATGATCACTCCTCTATTCTGTTGGTTAACGATAATAAAAGAAAATTAAAAGAAGTATAAGGGGTACATGAAATAATACTAAAACACAAGAGGTTGAAAGATATTAACCAAAAAGAACGAAGGCTGCAAATCAAAATCCCGTCTCTGTTTCTGTGAGACCTTATTTTATTCGATTGATTGGTAGAACAAAGTGCGGTGGTGGGAAAGATGGCGATGGCTAGTCTTGCTAGAAGAAAGGCGTACCTGCTTTCGAGAACCGTCGGTACCGATAATGTTCTCAAGTACGGTTTCAGTTACTCCGTCAGTAGAGGCTTCGCTTCGGGATCTGACGACAACGACGTCGTCGTTATCGGTGGGGGACCCGGAGGTTACGTTGCCGCCATCAAAGCCGCCCAACTTGGACTCAAGACCACCTGCATCGAGAAGCGTGGAGCTCTCGGTGGTACGTGCCTCAACGTTGGCTGCATCCCCTCTAAGGTCACCTTTTTTGACTAAATTATATCCTAGGGTTTCTTTTCAATTTTTTTTGGTTAATTTTTGTTTATATGATTGATTTGTATCTGTAGGTGTTTGTGTTTGTGTTTATAGTTGGATCTGGATTGGATAGTGAAGTTTTGTTTTTTTTGAAAATGATTTTGGGTGAAGAAAATAGTGTTTGTTTCTAAAAGTTTTGTGCTTTTGTTTAATATTGGGATTTTGATGACTATATGAATAAGCATAATCATGGCTTCATGTTCGACTGTTTTCCATTCATTTTTTCCTTTACCTCCTTCTGTCAATGACAAATGACTAATTAATGGTGATGAGTAGCAATAATGTGATAATTGATCCTCTAAATGATTCTGTTTGTCTGCAAATCAAAGTTCTCTGAGTTCTTGATACTGTTTAAGAAGACTGTTAGTGCTGCTAAGGTGTTTGACTTCTAGTATTACTTTTTGTGTTTAGTGTGTTTTACAGTTTGGATCATTATTTTTATGACCTCTCAGGATATTGCACTTCTTTTTCCTTTTAGAAATGAGTAATAATTCATTTTATTTACTGCTTTATAGCGGAAAGGTTTATGTTTCACTTCTACACTTGAATTATGTGTTTGCCATAATTTTGGCTCATTCAAAATTTGATTTCCTGGGATATGTTTTCTTATATTCAGGCACTTCTTCATTCTTCACATATGTACCATGAAGCCAAGCATTCTTTTGCCCACCATGGTGTGAAGTTCTCTTCTGTCGATGTTGATTTACCTGCTATGATGGCTCAAAAAGACAAAGCTGTAACTAATCTTACTCGAGGTATTGAAGGTTTATTTAAGAAGAACAAAGTGAACTATGTCAAAGGGTATGGCAAGTTCATCTCCCCCTCTGAGGTCTCTGTGGACACCATTGAAGGTGGAAACACTGTTGTGAAAGGCAAGAATATAATAGTTGCTACTGGTTCTGATGTCAAGTCTCTACCCGGAATTACCATTGATGAAAAGAGAATTGTATCATCCACTGGAGCTTTGGCATTGTCTGAAATTCCTAAGAAACTTGTAGTCATTGGGGCTGGCTACATTGGGCTGGAGATGGGCTCAGTTTGGGGCAGACTTGGTTCAGAGGTCACTGTTGTTGAATTTGCTCCTGATATTGTCCCAACCATGGATGGGGAAGTTCGCAAGCAATTTCAGCGTGCCCTTGAGAAGCAGAAGATGAAATTCATGCTTAAAACTAAGGTGGTAGGAGTTGATTCTTCTGGAAATGGTGTCAAATTAACTCTTGAACCAGCAGCTGGTGGTGAGCAGACCATACTTGAAGCCGATGTTGTTCTTGTCTCTGCTGGTAGAACTCCATTCACTGCTGGGCTTGGGCTGGACAAGATCGGAGTGGAAACTGATAAGGGGGGACGCATATTGGTTAATGAAAGATTTGTTACAAATGTGCCAGGTGTCTATGCAATTGGGGATGTAATTCCAGGGCCAATGTTAGCCCACAAGGCAGAAGAGGATGGAGTTGCTTGTGTGGAGTTCATAGCTGGTAAACATGGCCATGTTGACTATGATAAGGTACCTGGGGTCGTCTATACACACCCTGAAGTTGCTTCTGTTGGGAAGACAGAGGAACAGGTAAAGGCACTTGGTGTTGAGTATCGTGTTGGGAAATTCCCTTTCTTGGCAAATAGCCGAGCAAAAGCAATTGATGATGCTGAAGGACTTGTCAAGATTTTGGCTGACAAAGAAACTGACAAAATATTGGGTGTCCATATCATGTCACCTAACGCTGGAGAGCTCATTCATGAAGCTGTTCTGGCCATTAATTATGATGCATCAAGTGAAGACATTGCTCGTGTGTGCCATGCACATCCCACAATGAGTGAGGCATTGAAGGAAGCTGCTATGGCCACTTTTGACAAACCCATTCACATCTAAGAAGCAGGGTATTACTTTGTTATACTTGTTTAAAGAATTTTGGGATGTCTTACCCAAGACAGACTTTCCTGTTTTCTTAACCCTCCAACATTGAAGCAGATGTTTGAATAGAAATTTGTTTTTCTTCATTTCTTTGTCTGTCTATGATGACAGAATAACTTTGGTTTGTTTTCTTCTGTGATGATATGCAAAAATAAGCATAAAATGAGGTATACATGGAACTAATGGAAATTGCGGCATATTTAGTGTCTGTATTTCTGTCAATGTGATGGTGTATTCCATGTTTCTGTCATTTGAGAGCTGACTTGTCTGGGATAATAATAATACTCTTACATCATTTGAAAATGAGTGTGTTTGAATTTTTTACTTGTTTCTAGCCAATTTACCCAAGTATATGACATTTGGTGGTAGAAGTTCCATAGATCTTGCTTATAATAAAAAAAATTGGCCATAGCCAGATTTGTCTAATAATCAGAAAATGATTTTGTCTACTAGTCAAGAATTTCGTCAAGAAGCTTGGCAATTACTGGGTGTAACATGGAGAAGATGCCAAGGCGCTGTACTGTTAATATTTTCATTATTTTTAGGCCTCAAGTGTTTAAAGTTTACTTTGTTCATGCATGGAGCAAATATTCTGGAATGAATGCAGGCTTAGAAGAGTACTATCAAATAACCATCCCATGTAAACTGAAAAGGAGAACTAACATTGCTATTATTCAATTAAGACATATTCAATAAAGATCAACGAAACACTTAAATCTGCTACATTCCAAGAACAAGAATGAAAAGGCCTCCAACGGGAAAACAAGGCTTTGTTCCATTTAGTAACTTGGTGGATCTTCCACTCTGCAACTTCCAGTCAAGTGATGAGTACCCAATAATCATGGCTTCTCTCGCATTATCTGTCCTCCTCCTGGCCTGTTGAGCCAGCCGTGCATCTCTCTCCCTCTCAAATTCCCGGTAATCTGCTCTTTGCAAAAACAAAACCTTATCCAGACTGATTTGAGCTCTTCTTGTAAGCATCTAACTCCTCCTCCAGTCCCTTCTCTTCCTTAAAACTCTCCCCAATCCTTCTTCGTCTTGTCAAGCGCACTCTTTGGTTTCTTCTTAATTTGTTCAAGAACAGCATCAACAGCAGAAGTTGCCGGGCCTTTGACCTTTTCAGATGCTTCCTTTGAATCAGCATCAACAAAGCTTCTTAACTTCGATTTCTTGCCCTGCAAACTCCCGTACCTCAGCAATCTGCAAAAAGATAAAACGACATTACTCAAAGAAAACCCTTGCAGGTTTGCAAACCACCAGCCCATTAAAATCCATCTTGAAGGCTAAAAGCAATTCACATTAATGCTAGATTATAGAGGAAAAATCTGGGATATAGGCTTCGTGTATGCTACTAACTGTTAAATGCTTGCCCATCAACATTCAATCGCATATTAGAAAATAGCAAAACCTACTATGCAAAACACATTGTAAAATACTAGCCAAAATCTTCATATAAAAGCGTTAATCTACTTATTTTATGTTGAAACTACAATGATATGGGGAATAATATTATGATCAGGTATGCTGCATTCTCATTGAAGAAACCGAAACCGATCTAGCAAGACATTAAAAGAAGAAGATGTGTGCACGATATCATGAAAATTAAGGTAGCAACAATAATAAAGATTGGTCAGAACTTCCTAAAGGTATCCTCCACGTAATCTCTGATAAATTATCTCTACATTTTATTATGCTCCGGTATGGTCAGGACTCAGGTATGCTTAACGATCTCTGCTTCTTATTTATTTATATTATTTAATTATAATTTCATATAATAGAACATAAATTGAAATAAAATGATAAGGGATTGTTTAAGAAAAAAGTATCTTTATAAAGCTAATTGAGGGCATTTAGAAATACTATTTTCATCATTTTTAGGCCTTAGTGTTTGAAGTTTACATTGTTCAAGTATGGAGCAAAATATTGTGGAATGAACGCACGCTTTTAAGAACTCTACTCGAAAGACCCACCAACCATCTCATAAAAGGAGAAATAACATTGCTAATATACAAATTAAGATTATCGTCCCCTTCAGCAATACTGATATATTCCATAAAAGATCCCCGCAACATTTTGGAATATCCCAACCAACGCTTAAAGCTGCCACATTCCAAGAACAAGATTGAAAGGCCTCCTATGGGAAGACAAGGGTTTGTTGTATTTAGTAACTTGGTGGGTCTTCCACTTTGCAACTTTCACATGGTGGTCTTAAATCATGGCTCCTCCCGCATATCTGTCCTCCTCCTGGCCTGTTGCGCCAACCGTGCATCTCTCTCCCTCTCAAATTCCCGGTAATCTGCTCTTTGCAAAAAGGAAACCTTATCCAGATACTGATTCGAGCTCTTCTTGTATGCGTCTAACTCCTCCTCCAGTCCCTTCTCTTCCTTAAACTCTCCCCAATCCTTCTTTGTCTTGTCAAGCACACTCAGCTTTGATTTCTTCTTAATTTGTTCGAGAACAGCATCAACAGCAGAAGTTGCAGGACCTTTGGTCTTTTCAGATGCCTCCTTGGAATCAACATCAACAAGCTTCTTAAATTCAATTTCTTGACCTGCAAACTCCCGTACCTCAGTAATCTGCAAAAAAAAAATAAAACAGTAAATCATTCTGAGCACAATGCTCGAAGAAAACCCCTGCAGTTTTGCAAACCACAAACCCATTAAAACGAACTTAAAATCAATCTTGAAGGCTAAAAGCAATTCACATAACTATTAAATGACCTAAATGCTAGATTATGGAGGAATAGTCTGGGAAATAAGCCATGCGTATGCTACTAACTATTAAATGCCTGCCCATAAAAAATCAAATACTTCTTCAAAATCAGTTCAAATATATTAGAAAATAGAAAAACCTACTATGCAAAAGATCCTCTTTTCAGTTCATATACTCCACAAAGACATTGTCAATACTAGCCAAAATGTTCTTATCACTACAAACTCAATATTAAATTCCAAGGAGACAAATAAAAAAGGGAAAATGCGATTACCCCAACTTTCCCCCTGCCTGCTCCAGCAGCTGCAGCATCCCTGACTGCTGATAGAGCAGCAGCAGCAATTCTCTTGGCATCATCACTAATGTCATCCTGCATAGCACTAGATCTCTTTTGTGGCAAGATACCATCCAGCATATCTTGCTCAATGGATTCTGTCTTCTTTGGTGCAAATGCCAAATATTGCTTAAGGTTCTGCAGAACACAAAGTCAAGGAAAAGCAAACTAAACTTAAGGCTCATTGTCCAAATAATTCCACTGCAAAAAGACCAAATGAGGAAACCTCACATTGGCTTTTGTCTGTGAAGTGCTATTCACAGTTGAACTAGGCTTGGTTTTGAATGTCCTTTTAGGTACTCCTTTATTCATCTCCTCCCATAGGGCAGCAATCTTCTTATCATCATCACCAGTACCATTTTGCACAACACTAGATCCACCTTGTGGTGTGCCCTTTGGTGCCAAGCCTAGATATGCAATCCAGTTCTGTAAAATAAAATCAAGGTTGAAACTTGAAAGCCAGCTAATATTTAAATGTAACTCCATTAAAATAAATAATGAGAAAATCCTCACATTGGACATCTGTGATGAAGTTTTATTTACAGTTGAACTAGGACCATTTAAGAGTTCTTTGAGCGTCTTATTAGAAGTCCCTCCATTCATTTGCTCCCACATGGCTTCCACCTGAGTTTTCAACTCTAGCACAATAATAGAATACATTAGCCCCTTTGTTTTACATCAAGAATCCTTCATTTTAAGAATTAACATCGGTAAATATGGATACTATGACATCCCAAGAAATGAAAATCGAGAAAAAATGAAGACCAATAAACCTTAAATCCTCACCAATATCTTCAGGTTGACGCCCTGAGCTTGGACCACTAGCAACATTGCCTGAAACACAAAGTCCAGGGGATTAAGAGCAAGAAAGCATAAATAGCACCTACAATTCCTGTGATAGGACTAATCCATCTTGACCTTCCAATTTCCTAGCAAGGTCCCACCTAGCTGCCAATCCAGGTAGGCATTTGATTCCCAAAAAGAAAACAAAAAAGAATTCCATTCCCCTTCAAAAACACCTTCCCAAATTCTCATGTCAGCTTCTATACAACTAATCTATGATTAACCCAAAAATCCCCCGAACCCCAGTAAAAAATTCAAGTAAACTCGCAACATTTTTCCAATTAGGCAGCCTTTAGCAATCAAACCCTAAAGCCTTAATCCTAACTCCCTAATCTCAAAAATCCTCGAAGAAACTTATGCACTCTCCAATACGTTTTGCATGCATAATAACTGTTTCAAAAACCATATTACCCCGGAATAATCGCTGTAATTTTCATATAATCTACATTACAAAACCAATAATCATGAATTTCTCAAATTTTAGCGTGTAAAAATTTACTCATTGTAAAACATAAACAAGTTCTATATCTTTCTTCTTTATTTTAAACTTGAAAAGAACAGCACTAGTAATTGATATGATGAACAAAGCAATAAATATTCAAATTAAATGAAATTACTTGGAAAATTGAAGGGAAAGAAGAAAAATGAAACCTGGAACATCGAGCCCAACGCTGTTGGTTTCCGCCATCGGCATTAAACCTTTTAAAATAAACAATAATAAGAGAATTGGATATGAAACGTGCTGGTATTGCGAACCCTAGAGAGATCCTGAGAACTAAGAAGAGAACACGGAGAAGAAGGTGAAGATCCCCCCCCCCCCCCTTTGCATGAAACGACGCCGTACAAATCAACATTTATTTTTAGGTGGGATGGACCGGGCCGGGCCTGGATGGGCCGCTTTACCAGTTATTATCCCGCGAAATAGAATTCACTTGATACAGTGTTATGAACCCACTTGTCAGTAAGAACCAAATTTCATAATCTAAGTAATCAATTAAAAACCAATCTCATAATCTAGCAATTAATGGGCAAATCTTGAATATCACAATGAATAAACCCTAAAAATAGAATGGATAAACCCTACGAATTATACTATATAAACAATGCTTATCTTTGCAAATACTCACCCAACAATCAAACACAAAAAAAAAAAATGTTGAATTTCTTTGTACAACCTTCTGTTTTGTCTTGCTTTTTACTAGCATTTCTCCTCTTTGCTCCCTCACAATTACATGCAAGAGACTATAGAAGTAAGNGTTTTATGAATCCATTTTAAGTATGAATCAAATTTCATAATCAAGTAATCAATTAAAAACCAATCTCATAATCTAGCAATTAATGGGCAAATCTTGAATATCACAATGAATAAACCCTAAAAATAGAATGGATAAACCCTACGAATTATACTATATAAACAATGCTTATCTTTGCAAATACTCACCCAACAATCAAACACAAAAAAAAAAAATGTTGAATTTCTTTGTACAACCTTCTGTTTTGTCTTGCTTTTTACTAGCATTTCTCCTCTTTGCTCCCTCACAATTACATGCAAGAGACTATAGAAGTAAGGTTACAATTGATCTGTTGAATGAGCTTTGCTCAAAAACCAACAATCCCAGTTTCTGTTCGGTGGTATTGAAGCTGAATCTTGAGTCTACTTTACCAATCGTTGCCCAGAGAACCCTAGATTTGGCTCATGATAAGGCCACCACCACTCTCAGTTTAATCGGGTCACTCATCAAGAAAACAACTGATCCTGAGTTAAGGAAAGAGTATGTTTCTTGTTATGATGACTATGACAAGGCAATTGGTGAAGTTGAAAATGGTAAGAAAGCTTTGAGCTCCAATGTTTTTTATAAGCTTGGCCTTGAAGCAAATCATGCCATTGATAAAGCTAATAGATGCAGAATGGAGTTGAAAGTGCCAGCACCTAATGCATTATTATCAGAACAAGAAGAGTTTAAGAACCTTTGTAATATCATTTATGTTATCTCTAATTATTTGTTTGAATCAAACTGAAATGATCAGTGAAATGAACTAGAGAGTTTTCATGAATTGCAGATGTGGTTATCTCCAGATTTCTCATGCATTGTGCATTTATTGCTTAACCAAGAACTAAATTTTTGGCTGATTATGATAAAGAATCAATATAATAACAATGAACCACCATCAAATGGCCCAACGGTCAATTAGGACTTTTGGGTGTATTACACAAGAGGTCTTGAGTTCAATTTATTTTGTTTTTAATAGGAGAACCCACTAAGGGGATTGACCTTACTGTTAATTTCAGGCTCTCGAAGAATTAATTGAGTTGTGTGTAATACTAATGATGATCTTTTTTTGTGACATAACTTTTAGGGAACACAATAAAATGGTGAATTAAATTTTTACTGCTTGTAACATGATATATCCTTACAAAATCTTCTTCCTTCACTAAATTATCTTTTAGTTCTAGATATGATTTGAATAGCATATAAAAATTAAAGTTTACGTTATAAATATGAGGTGGTAAAAATATTTATAAAGAACAGGAAATTGAAGTTATTATTGAATAATTCAATATATAAATAAATTTGTGATGATAAAAATTATTTAAAAATGAGATTTCTTGAGTTTATAAATGAAGTGGGCATTACATCCGCCCTCCAATTAATCAAAGGAAAATCCATTAAAAAAGATTGCATCCCAAACTCTCCACAACCGTTTATAAAATCAGTGAAACCACCACCGGCAGCCCGGCCGCCTCCACCACCAAATCTAAACCCGCGAACAGAAGCATTTTCCATTGTAGCCCCTCTTATTCTAACCATTACCATAATCTTTTTACTTGTGAAGGTGGTGGAAACTCATATAGTGATTGTGAAGGTGGTGCTGTTGATGATTATGATGAGGAGGAGGAGGATTATACTCCACTCCATTGATGCATTCTGAAGTTTTTGTCATCTCATGAGGCCATACTCTAGACGGGTTTCTTGTTAGCTCCAGCAACGAATCCCTCACATGATCAGCTTGAACCATCTCGCTATCTTTTTTCTGCCATCAAGAAGTTCATAATAATTAGAACAATTAAAATAAAAAGAGTAGTTTTAATTTTGCTATCTAAAAACGTGTTCATAATTTTACCTTTACTTTGAAAACATTTGAAACAAGTCCCCTAAAACGGGTTATATTCGCATTTGTCACTTCCAGACCCAATGAATTCAAAGCTTCCATCAATTTTACAAATCCAGCAGGCTTATGTTCGCAAAACACTTTAACAAAGAGCTCGTTACCATCTAATGGAGCCACTTCAACTTGCACCTTCAAATGTACATTTGTTCCATACAATAAAAATAACATATTGAAAGTCTAATTTAAAAGAGGAAGAAGATATTATATTTAGATTTTAGAGTACGTTACCTCCATTTGTTGTGTCTTGTCATTAGTGATTTCTAGGTCTTGATTCTGAACTTTAGGAAGAGCACTGCTATTACCTGAAGCAGTTGCACCCAAATGAAACCCACCACTTTGACTGAAAATTTCTGGCTTCACGATGTTGTGGTTCTTGGCGCTCCCTTCATCATCTGAATTCTCCTCCAGTTCATCTTGAAGCTCTTTGATTTCCTTTAGCAAATCCTTTATAAAGTCTATTGCATCACCAAGGATTGAAGCTTTATCCATCTGAAAACATCAAACATCAAATCATTCTATAATATTGATACAATTTATTGTTAGAAGATAAAAGATCAAATTAAAAGGAAGAATGGTTTACTTTTGAAATTTTCGGAACCAAAGCTCGAAGAGCATAAAGCCTATCATTAAGTTTCTTCCTTCTTTTCCTCTCAGCTACAAGGTTTTTAGCTTGAGGTCCCTTCCCTGTTCTCCTCCGATACTTGGCATCATCCTCATCATCAATCTGGTCACTGCAATCTGAGATTGAATCTGACCGTCCATTCTCATGCACATTATTAACTGGTGATGAGAAATTAGCGTCCATGTTGCTTGTAGTAACCATTGCAGCTTCCTGCCCCATTGATATGCTGCATTGCGCTGTGATAAAATCAATCACATACAACTATCTAGTTAGGTTTCTCAAATTAATCTTATATGTTAGACAAAAAGAATAAGTAGAGAGGGCAGTGTATACTTCTTTAGTTGCTAACAGCTCAACCAGTCCTCCCACCACTGGTATCAAGACCCTAGTCCAAACTGTTTCCTGAAAATTATCGCAAGGAAAGTAATGTTAGATCAATTTTTAAAGCGGGGAAATTTGCAACGGATGCACATAAATTGTGTGTTATATCAATAAATATGAATGATTTTAATAGGATATTAATATTTTCAAAATTAAAGGAAATTTATATACCTTCATAACATCTCCATGTGAGCTATTAGAGAAGTTTATCCACCTTGGATGGTTTGAAATCAAGGTCTGTGCATGATTAATCCTGAATAATTATGAGATCAAATAGCTAGTTTTATAATTGAAATATTTATATATATATATACAAGTAATTAAGAAAAGTTGATGAATATATATATAAAAATATTTACCCGGAGTCTAGAGGAATAGAAGAAGGAAGTTGGGAAAGAAGTTCACAAGATTCAGTTCTTGGATGCTGAATTATAACATCCCTACAAGGAAGAACCGGAGAAACTGGAAAATGAAGCTCTTCTCCGCCATTAATGTTGTTCATCTCAATTCCAGCACAACAACAATCCATCCACTCAATAAATCTAAGTAAAAAGAGATTGATATTAATAACGTAATGCATAATTATAAATATAAATTAATATGCTGATTATAAACCAGGAAACTAATTAAATCCATAGCTTGTAAAATCTAATCTGAAGGGAATTAGTTAATCGCATTGCAGACTTGGAATACACACATCTACTTCGTATGCAAGCTGATAAGGCTGAGATAGTCCGAGCCAGATCAGAATGGCAGTTCAAACAGTCATCACAACTTGTTCTCAAAACCACTTAACGCACTTTTACTTTAATTTGCTCTACAATTTGTTGCGAGTAAAACCTCTCAGGCTATATATGCAGTGCAATTATGTTTATTGTATATGTTTGATGTACCGAGCTTTTCGTGGCTACGTCCATTGCTATTCTAGTTCTACTGAATCTGCAATTGACTAAATGTGAAGGAATTTAGAGAAGAATAATATATTTTTATATATAGTCAAAGAGAATGATGAATGAGAGTGTTGAAAGTGAATAGTTATAGTTGCAAGAGAATAATATTGTATAAATTAAATTTAAATATCAATAATTCCATTAGATTTTAGATAACGAATTAAGCAAATGGTGTTTATATAAATGTAGGTAACGTTGAGTACTGGTTGCATGAGAGAAGGTAGGTGACGTTTGAGAGTTTTATAAAATATACAAGGGAGGAGCAAAATGCATGACTGAACTTCCTTTTAAAGTTAATCACCATTGAAAGATTTTTGATGAAATTTAAATAATAATGTTAATAAGGACTTTAATTTTTTGGATTACCGGGTTTAGAAGAAGTAAAAAGTATTATGAATTTTATTTATTTTCTAACTATTCTCATTGTTTTGATTTCTTGGAATTTGTTTTTGGTGAGGAAAAATACAAAGCAAGTTTGTCGTCAATCTTTTAATTTATATATTGTAATAACTTATAACTTTTTTTTGGAACATCTAACCATTTTAATTAAAAGCAATGTAAGTCATACAAATCACACAAAATCTATTGTGATATACAAATAGATTAAAGAACTCGTAATTTTTTTTTTATCCATATATTTTGTATTCTCTCTCAAACTAAAAACTCTCATTTCAAATCAAGATTTTTAGTACAAAATTACGAATTGAAATAAACCATTGACATATTTGAGACAATTATTCAAGATGAACAAAAATAAGTGATAATTTTAAAGGGTTTTATCAGTTGTGGAGGTAATAAATTTTGTCTTTTTTTATTTATTTATTTGTATTTTCATATAAACATGGTGAACAAGTTTTTATTTTTGATTTTGCTATGAACAAGTACATCTTTACATAAATATGTGAAACAAGTTTTCATTTTTCTCATTTTCAATATTTAATATATATATATAATTCATAAAAGATAACAAACATAGTATTCATTCATCGTAATTTATTAAACATGTTTTCTTTTAATTGTTAGAAATATTTATTTGTTGGATTTTCTGGGTTTAAGCAATAAGAATGAACCAATTGGGTTATGAAAAGCCTTTAAATACCACATTTACAATTTGATATATAAATGTCATGTTTAATATCAACTGATGAAGCCATTTATTTCTTCATAAAACTCCTACTTGACCGTTGGAATAACATGGAGAGTTGACGGATATGTTAATGGTGATCTCTCTGTCACTCGAGCGCTGGGAGACTGGAACTTGAAACTCCCACTTGGGTCTGCCTCACCTCTCATTGCTGACCCAGATTTTCAACAAGTTGTGTTAACTGAGGATGATGAATTCCTAATCATTGGGTGTGATCGATGGTATCTGGGATGTGATGTCAAGTCAGTATGCAGTTAGCCTTGTCCGCAGGGTGACCCAAAGCAGTATGCTCAAGAACTAGTGATGGAAGCGACACGCCTACATTCATCTGATAATCTCACTGTGATTGTTATCTGCTTTAATTCCCCTGCTCGTGCTGAGTCATGTCCTCCTCAGCGGCGTAGGTTCAGGTGCTCAAGTTTATCTGAGGAGGCGCGAAGTAGACTTAAGAGCCTGTTAGAAGGCAATTGATCGAGTATACCAATTATTTCATACACTATTTACCGATTAAAGTTGAGAAGTGATTGTTATCTGTTTAAAGGCTGTTTCAGATGGTTCATTAAAAAAAAAAAAAAAAAAAAAAAAATACTAAACTTAAGGAGGGATACGCAACTTGCTCTGAGCATTATGATATCCATTGGACCTTGGTGATGCTCAACAACACTTGAACACTGGTGATCCAATGGGTGTCAATTTATCAGCTTCAGCTTCCATGGATGAAGCCGGCGATGGTGATGATGAATTAAAAGGG